TTACTGAAATAATACTATTTGTTTACCTATCAACCTCCCCCCAACCCCCTAACTTTCAAATTACAGTCTAATCTGGACTGCCGCATTTCTTTTATTTATGCTCAAGAATAGTACAACCGAACTCTTCAGAACACCGACTTATTCAGAACACCGACTTATTCAGACAGTGTTTCTTACTCTTATCTAATATCTTGATTTGGAGCTATAAAACGTATCAAAATGACCAAGCAACAAAATCTGGATAACACAAAGGAGCATTAAAATTTACATTTGTATATTAACACGATTCTTATTGCCAAATTAGATGACTGTTTATAGTTTTCAATTACATGTTCACCCTGTCTGCGAAAACATTCTCTTTGAAGAAAGTAGAATTGTTATCTAAGGTTTTTGGCCTTTCCAGTGCTTCTTTGAAGTCTAATTTATGTTTTCACTGATTGGATGTATACAACGTGTTGTATCAAGAAATACATAAGTGTGATTGCAAAACATATATCCATAGTGCAGTTAAATAGCAAACAATTTTATTGCTGCTTGTCTTGATTGCAAACATTAGTGTGCTGTGGCGTCAGTAGAGTTGGTGTCACCCAGTGCGGTAACTCATGGTGTCCATGAACTTCCCTCCTGCACAAAAATTCAAAATGATGTATAGACAATCATTTTGGCGGCAGCCTCTCTGATGGTGCCACCCGGTGTGGTCAGCACCCGCTGCACTATCTTTGTGTAGCCAATGAGCATATATATATATATATATATATATATATATATATATATATATATATATATATATATATATATATATATATATATATATATATTCAAACACACACCCACACCCACACCCATACCCACACACACACACACACACACACACACACACATATATATATATATATATATATATATATATATATATATATATATATATAAGTAGTTACAACATTTGGGATGAAGAGGGTAACATCTTGAATGTATTCCATAGTTTTACATCGTATTCAAGAGGATAAAATAATGGTATGACTTTGTATTTAAGAGAATAAGAATCATGGACTTAAGGCCGTGATAAAGATGATTAAATAGTGGATATGACTTTATGACAAAGAGGAAAAAAATCATGGATATTACTGTTACAAAAAGGATCAAAATCATGGGTATAATATTGTGTTAGAGATGACAAAAATATCTGTATGGCATCGTGGTAGAGACGACAAAGTCATGTTCATGACATTGCAGTGGAGAGAATAAATAATGAATATGTGGTCGGGAAAATAAAGACATGAGTATGAATACTCCATTGTAGTGGAATGTATAAAGTCATTGGTATGAGTGCTCCATTGTAGTGGAGAGAATAAAGTCATGGGTATGAGTACTCCATTGTAGTGGAGAGAATAAAGTCATGGGTATGAGTACTCCATTGTAGTGGAGAGAATAAAGTCATGGGTATGAGTACTCCATTGTAGTGGAGAGAATAAAGTCATGGGTATGAGTACTCCATTGTAGTGGAGAGAATAAAGTTATGGGTATGACAATACGGAGAGAATAAAAGCATTGTTGTGGACAGGATAATAAATATTGGTTACAACATTGTGTTGCAGAGAACCTAAATATCAAATAAAAAGCCCTGATGATATTTTATTTCTTTTATTAACAAACGATTAAATGCCGAAGTTTTACAACCAAGTAATGATGTCAGAATGCTAGTATGTTTAGCTATATGTTAATACATCTTTAATTAACTGCGATAATTGCGCAATTAATAGGAAAACGAGGTTTCTTTCAGATATGATATCGAGAATGAGCTTACTAGATTTATGCAGCTTTTATCTCCCACAAATCTTCAAGAGGAATGTGACAAGGTGCTCGCTGTGGTAAAATTCTGTCCTCTACCGATAACACAGAAGCTCCAAGTGACAAGGTACTTTACTATAGCCTTATATACATTTCTTTTTAAAGGGCATAGGAAAAGTCGTGCATTAAAAGGATTTTAAGAGATTAGACGTTACTCCTTACATCGTTTCGAAGTGATCTACACTCTAATCATCATATCATCTATAATCTAATTCGACCTGTTCTATGACCCTATGATTAATTTTACCGTTGCTTATTTTTTCTTTATAAACGAAACACTTTGCTCAAAGATGAGTGCAGCTGAGAAAAGTTTAAACAAGATTAAACTTTCATAATTTAAGATAAACTTTTCTTAAGAATAAAACCTTTCTATGTTTTTTTATGTTTCACAAACTTCAAAACCGATGAGATAAATGTATTTACAGTGGTATCATGAATTAGTTCATCGTGATCAAGGAAGACAACTGCAAATAATATATCTAAATGCCATTCTTGATAGTATAGCGATTATATTCCTTAAGTTAAACAGTGAGTACTAGTTTCCAATGACCTTTCACCCCTATGTTAGAAAATGGGGCTGTTATATTGGTCTGTAAGCCTCAGTACGTATTTCCTGTCAAAAGCATGGAATTTTCAGAAACCGTGCGGTAGCGGACAAGGTTAGTCCCTGTGACATGAATAATTGCATGATTAATCGACCTGGTATAAACATCTCACGCTAGATCGATACACATGGGCATTCTTGATTAAGTGATTTGGTTTAGAAAAGATTTTACCTGAGATCGATAAACATAAATCCAGTTTCCAATTCTTACCAGTTAAAATATATTACGCATATTTTACAGTGTTTAAAAACTAGACACTGTTGGTCTGTTCACACTGTTTTGTCTCGTGATTTTAAATATTGTGGACTACATTTTAACTGACTTTAGAGGTTAAATGATCATATGATACAAAAGATGCAGGTTAAGAACAGTTTGATAATAATACGATTGCTTACGAATACGTGGTCCGCATTGATTAATCGCAGAGTAGATTCGGTTCATAAATATTGAATAATTCGCTCGTATTACTGCAGATCAAAGTTACAATAAGTATATGTTTTATCAGGGACGATTATTATTATATTTATCAATTTCAGATAGGGATGCTAAGAATCATGTTTTCGATAAGGAATACGTTCTGATACCCCACTGCAACATACTTGTTTTTGTAAAACTGATGGAATTGTCCGATGAATTTCACACTATTATTGTTTTCCCAGAATGCTTCGTTCCCATATGCAACAGACTAGAATAAAAAGAGATAAGAACGAATACGGAAGGCAGGTCATAAAGGTTTGTGAACCTACCCTTTTACATATTTCGTATCCTTAACTTTGATTTCTTATATCACAATCATATGTTCCAATCTGATCACTTGTGTTCTTGTTCGATATGAAGCCGTGACTTCATATACAAACTTAAAGCGGCATTTGTCTATAAAGTATAACTAGAAACAACTTCGAGATCAGAAATCATTTCTGTTAGTCAAATATCCATTAAATATATTTGCGATTCTAGTTTCTACACAATTGAAGTTATTTCAACTAAATTACGTCTTAAAAATTTTCTGTTTGCTTCTGAATCGTGTTTGCTTAATGTAGGTGTGATTAAATTAAAATACGTTGTGTTACATGTACTGTTACCAGAACCAGAAAACAACCCTGAAGATTTTCTAACATGAGTAAATGTCACTAATGATTGTTTCTTTTTGTTTTCATTCATAATTACTCTATTAGCAAAGAGATAAGATGGGAGAAATCCTTAGCAGCTGGCCGATCTGGGAGACAACTATCTCCAACTTGCAAGGTGCGTGTTGAAAAATACACCCACGACGCTCAGGCTGTATGGTTTAACCTTTCGGTTAGATGATTTGTTTTAAATTGCGATCATAAACCTAAACCATCATTCTTTGTTGGCGAAATAAATTAATAAATCTATTTTGCCTTGGCGTCGCCCATTAAGCATCCAAATGCCGTCTCTCTGTGCGAAGCGAATACGTTCACTTTTAAATCTTCAGATTCGGATTCTCTCTCTCTCTCTCTCTCTCTCTCTCTCTCTCTCTCTCTCTCTCTCTCTCTCTCTCTCTCTCTCTCTCTCTCTCTCTCTCACACACACACACACACACACACACACACGTACAAACGCATACTCTTTAATGCGGACATACTCTTTAATGCAAACACGTTGGTTCTTTGTTCAACGTAGCTAAAGATAAATTACAAATGTCTACATTTTAATACTACCTGTTAAAAATTTAAAAAAAAAATCATTTAATCAATTCCTGTCGATTTCAGCTTATTTCGGAAGTAACGTGGCTTCATACTTTAATTTCCTGCGAACTCTGCTTTATCTGAATATGCTGATTGCAGTCATGCAAGTAGGACTAGTGGCTTTTCCACAGGTAATTCCCATCATTTAATTATGAATAGTGGCTGTTTCACAGGTAATTTGCCGACATGTAAGTATGATTAGTGGCTGTTCCATGGGTAATTTGCCGTCATGCAGATAGCCTAGTGGCTGTACCAAAGATAATATGCTATCATAGAAGAAGGACTAGAGGCTGTTCTTCAGGCAATTTGTTGTCATGCAAGAAGGAAAGGTGGCACTTGCACATATTATCTGTTGTTGTTTTAGACTTAGCGCCATTTTTTCAGCACAAGATAGGCTATACATGCTGGTCAGTATAACTGATGCAAGAAGTACCCTGGAAACCCCCGGGAAGAACCACCGACCGATGACAAGCTACTGACAAGCTTTCTAATATAACCACATTAGTTGAAACCGAGACTCGAGCCCAGGCAGACAGAGGTGAGATGGCAGTGATCCGGAACAGTATATTTATGTATGCATGCATGTATGTATGTGTGTGTGTGTGTGTGATTTGAATTTTTAACGTAGTTTTAACAATATTTCAGACATCGTTACGATGTCGGCAGTGTGGCTATTTAGTGATGTCTAGCACTGGCGCATCATGCCACAGACCTGAAGGACGATGCCCCACCCAGTCACATTATCCAGACAACAGGCCGACCAGTCCTACCACTAACCTCTTATTGCTGAGCGCCAAGCGAAAGGAGTTGTTAGTACCATTTTTATAAGTCTTTGGTATGATTCTGCCGGGGATTGAACCCAATATCTCCCGCATCCGAGGTGGACGCTCTAACCACTAAGCCACCGGAGCGAGAATGGACCTGCTGAACGTTCAAAAGAATTGTGAGACAAAATACCAAAAGCGACGATTGGTAAGTGACTGCTCAAACCATTATGTTGTCATGCATTTGAAAGACAACAATGAACTTCTAGCAGATGAATGGTAGAAAGACTGCAGTACAGGTTTTATGCTTGTTATGCACAAAAGCAGTCTATCTATCTATCTCTCTATATCTATCTATTACATACATACATACATGCATATATATATATATATATATATATATATATATATATATATGCATAGATATATATATATGTATGCATAGATATATATATATATATATATATATATATGCATAGATATATATATATGTATGCATAGATATATATATATATATATATATATATATATATATATATATATATATATATATATATATATATATATATATATATATATATATATATATATATATATATAAATTTAAGGATACAACTGCATAATCCTAAAACCAGACTATTCGAAGTTAAAGGCAACGAAATGGATCCGAGAAGGCTAAAATATTTCTCAGTATTGTTTCCTTCAGTTACGAGTGCTAACACTTTCGCATAATTGTTTACATTCATATACTGTTTTAATAATAAATGAACTTTTCTAACGACGTGACGATCATTTATATACGAATGTTTCAGGCGGATGCACATGTTCAGTGATATAATATAACTTATATGTAATTTTATTTCCTAAGGAAAGGAATGTAAACTGATTGATAGTGTAAAATACACAAATTATTACGCGACCATGCGACGCATCATTGATAATTCTAATAGAAACCGTTCTTATTTCAGGTACTAAACGATGGAGGATTTATCACGAAAGAAAATGCCACAAGAAATGGACATTTTGTAAGAATTTTCATTAGTTTTCCTTTCTTTTTCGAGATCAAACTTTTTTTTTGAGAAAAGCAACAATACATATTAAGGCAGCTTCCGCGTATGAATCTAGATCCTCTAGAGTAAAATTAATTTGAATATCCACATTTAGTTACAGGTGATCAATGAGAAAACTGAATGTTAACTACGATTAAGATTACAATAGGGATTTAAATAAACTAATCTTTTAACATTGATATAAACTCTTAATTAACGGTGTTGTAAACCTTCTATTTAAGATATGAATAAACCTCGTTTACCATTAAAATCTACTCTTAATTTAACGTCAAAATAACTATTTATTTAACCTAAAATGACCTCTCGACTTAACGACTGAACAAGTTCTTGATTTAACATTAAAATCAACACTTTAACATTGGAATAACATTTTGGTTTAACATTAAAATCAACTCTTAATTTAACTTAGAATACTTTCTTAATTTAACATTAAAATAAAACTTTCATTCAACATTAAAGTCAACCCTTAATTTAACATTCAAACTGATTCATGATTTAACATTAAACTCAATTTTTGATTTAACATAATGTCAACTCTTGCTTTAACATTCAGCTTTAATCAACTCCAAGTTTAACATTAGAATCAACTCCAAGTTTAACATTAGAATCAACTCCTGGTTTAACATTAGAATCAACTCCAAGTTTAACATTAGAATCGACTCCTGGTTTAACATTAAAAATAACTGGTTAAACATTAGAATCGACTCCAGATTTAACATTACAATCAACTCCTGGTTTAACATTAGAATCAACTTCTGGTTTAACATTAAAATCAACTCATGGTTTCACAATTTGAATCAAATCCTGGTTTCACATAAGAATCAACATTTTATTTACTATTCCATCAACTCTCGATATAAAATTAGATTAAACGTTTCATTGAACATAAATTCATCCTTTATACATAGGAATAAACTCGTAAATTAAATATCAAATTATAGTTATACTATTAGTAAGAGAATGTTTGTTTTTTTTTTTTAAAAAAAATAATTATTTGAACTCTGAAATATCCGAACTTTAATAAGATATATTATGCAATTCCAAATTTAACAATATAAGCCTTGCCGGTCCATAAGCAAGTCCTAATGTATAAAATGGTTATAATTTTTCGATTATTCCGTTTCAAATTATCGCATTTGATTACCACTCTCCTTTTATAGGGTGTTGTCTCTCAGAGTATAATGTTCTACGGCGCCTATTCTCGTGATATTTTGGATGGTTACAACATTCCATTGGCTTATTTCATCACGTGGTTGGTTGCAAATATTCTCTGCCTCGTTTTCATCGCTACCTTGTGAGTATATCCATAGTTTAAAGTTTAACTCGTATCAAAGATTTTTATTTTTAAAGACGAATTTGTGTTATGTGTTAATTAAAAATCTTAATTTACTAATATTAACAAATAATGAATGAAAAACTTCATGATCAATGCAAACTAAAAGATAATTTTCAGAATGCACGTGCGTTACCGGAAGAGCAAACTCTCTGAATCGGGAGAAGACTACAAGTTTACATGGAGACTCTTGTGTGACTGGGACCACTCGATTACAAATAAAGACGGGGTCAAGGATAGGAAAACTGCCGTTACCACTGATTTTAAGGTACTCAATAATTACACACTAATGTCGACACTTCACCTTTTCATGAACATTTGATGTGTTTTTCATGTGTGGAAGCAGAGGTTGAGATGGCAGTGATCGGCAAAATCTCACTCTTTAAACCACTCGGTCACCAATCCTCGCACCCTATCCCCATGAATTTGAATGCATTTATTGTGATTCACAGACATGGATTTATAGTAATTTTATTTAGGTTTTGAAAACTTATTTGCTGTTCACAGTCGACAAAGTGCTCTCATTGTAACAAGATGAGCTGGGTTTGGGTCAGATTACTACAATAAAGACACTATGAATGACAAGGAAAATACAATGGCGATACAAGATTAAAGATAAAATATTCTACACATAAACCTGCACGCATAAATTAGCATAAAACTGGATTTTTAACACATTGATGCGTACCAAGTTAAATAACTGAACGATAACTCTCTGTCTGTGTGTATGATTGGGATTTTTAACGTAGCTTTAACAGTTTTTCAGTCATATCGTTACGATGTCTACAGTGTGGCAGTATATAGTGATACCTAGATATGGGGCATGATGTTGTTGACATATAGCAAGATGTCCCACCCAGTCACATTATCCTGACACCAGGCTGACCCATCTTAACATTAACTTTTTAATGCTGAGCTCCAAGCGAGGCAGCTGTTAGTACCATTTTTATAAGTCTTTGGTATGATTCGTCCGGGAATCGAACCCAAAACTTCCCACATCCGAGACGGATGCTCTCATCATTAGGCCACCGAAGCTGTCGAACGATAACTGAAATAATATAACGAAAAAATGATACAGTTCCTAATTGGAACGAGTTGCAGGATGAAATAGAAAACAAACAAATAGTTAACAATAATGAATAAAATGAAATTTTATAAATATTAGGCACAAAATAAACAATTTATCACTAAAACAATAACATTTGAATTTCAAAACAAAAACAAAGTTTCACTCAAATAGTGATACCTGGTTTCATAAAAATAGTGACAATGTTTCCCTCAAACAGTGATAACTTGTTTCATATGAAGAATGACAATGTTTGACTCAAATATTGATAACTTGATTTAATTTAAATTGGGACATATCTTGCGACGTTCACTTCATAACCAGAATGTAATTTAAGCCCCCACCGCTATGTCTGATGGTCAAGGAGCCACAACAAATGGCCTGCCACTCTCCTCTGGCCAATGATCTGTAGAACGTCTTGTTCCCAAAGACCCGTTGGTCCCGAAGACACGTTGGTCCTGAAGCTTTGGTCCCTCACTACGAAGAAAACACCATCTTTATTGGGACCAACGTCACCGCAAACAGCAGCACACCGGGAATATACCAACACAGATTAGCAACATTGCTAAGGCGAAAACACAAAGATATAGCATATCTCTGTCCCTATAGCTCTATCACTCCGACTCTCCTTCATCCCTTCACTATTATTCAGCTCTACAGCTGGAGACATTGCGCCGTAAAATGAACTGCTTATTAACTGCCTATAAAGTATCATATAGATAAACCAACCTCAGGTAATAAAGTACACATAAATGAAACCCGAGTACATTAAATTCCAGAAATAATAATAATAATAATAATAATAATAATAATAATAATAATAATAATAATAATAATAATAATAATAATAATAATAATAATAATAATAATAATAATAATAATAATAATAATAATAATGAGAATTTTGTATAGAGCCGAATCTTTAGAAGCTTTAAGCGCTTTACAACATTAGATAAACATATATAATGATATGATTGCAATAAACAAACAGCATGAAAATAGATAACAGACAACATGCTGAAAATATTTAAGGTAAGGAAACCTTATCATGTCTCTAGGTCTGTTCTTGCAGTCGAAATAGTTGAGTTTTAAGAACGCTTTTGAATGAGATCGCTGTGTCTTTGTGTCTAAGTTCAGTTGTCAATTTGTTCCACGTTGATGGGCCCTGATATGCAAAAGAACGTTGCCCGTATGACGTCATTTTCATAGCGAGAATAGTGAGAATACGAGTGTCAGAAGAAGATCGTAAGTATGTTGCTGGTGTGTATGCATGGGTGAAATTGGATAGGTATGTTGAACTGGAGCGCGTCAGTGAAACGTAGCACAGAGAACAAATTTTGTGTTTGATTCTGGATCGAATTGATAGCCAGTGTAGAGTACAAAGCACCGGAGAGGTGTGCTCTGATCGTGATGCTCTAAAGATGATCCAAGCAGCTGTATTTTGAATTTTTGAAGTTTCTGGAGTATATATTGAGACGAACCAGACATAATTGAGTTACAATAGTCCAGTCTTGAAAGTACTAAGGAACACAAAAGTATTTTGTGGCATCAACTGACAGATAATTGTGAATAGAGGTGATGCGTCTCAGCTCAAGAAATGCAACCATGCATATATTCATGTTGGTGAAACTTGAGAGTACTATCGAGAATAACACCTAGGTTTCGTACTTACCATGTAAAGTTAATGTTGGTTTTGCTGATAATTTTTGTTGGAGGTAAAGGATGTGAATGAGAAAGTATTTGTGTTGTAATTAAAATGATTTCAGTTTTATATTGTCATTCTTCTGCAGATTGTTACATATCATCCATGATTTCACATCGGAAATGCGCCTCTCTACACCTTGGATGGTATCATCAACTTCAGCTGAGTGGCTAGATTTGTATATTTGGGTGTCATCAGCATACAATTGGTGAGACACTGGATGATAATATATTTCACTTGAGAGCGGCTGAGTGTATAGAAAGAAGACAACAGGTCCAAGAACAGACCCCTGTGGAACACGACAACGTAGATCAACTGGGCTGGAGTGTATTCCATTTGCGGACACAGTTTGTGTACTGTTTACCAAAAATTGATTTGAACCACAGTAAGGCTATCGTGAATATCAATTATATGCTGGAGACGGTGGATTAATATATAATGGTCTTTTGTGTCAAATGCTGCAGACAAGGCAAGGAGGGCGAAGACTAATCTTTCCACTATCCAAAGCAGGGAGAAGGTCATTGGCTACTTTCAGACGAGCAGTTTCAATGCTGTGGCTAGGGTGATATCAAACTGTACATTGCTAAAAAGTCTGTTTGAGTTCAGATGAGATACACGTTGGGATAAATCAACTTTTTCTAAAATTTTCGACATGAATGGGAGATTATAAACTAGTCGGAAGGTCTTTTAAATCGTTATGGTTTCTTCTGCAGAGGTTTTACAAAGGCAGTTTGGGAATTGAACATTGGTTAGTGAAGGCAATATTGGATCTAAGCACTGAAAAGCAGCAGTGATGTCGGAATCGGGTTAAGTTAACATGACTTTGGTGCACTCTTCATCACGATGTACGTACTAAATCCATAGAGACAGGATCAAATGCTGCTAACGGTTACCGCTAAATTTCTGTCTTGCAACTCTATGGTGACGACGAGTCAGCTGAACTTGTGTTGTCAAGCTTAAATGTAATGGTTTGTACTTTGTCACGGTAGAAATTTGCAAACAGGTCCGGAAATTAAACTGGAGAGAAGGTAGCTGAAAGTGATGTACATTTATTCCTTGACATTAGCTTGTTAGTAATCTAGATGAGCTCTTTGCAGCTGGAACGTTCCGTGATATTAGTACTGTAGTGGGAAGAGTTCGCTGTATGGACTATGTTTGTGATATTCTTCTTAGCAGCTTCATAGATTGCTTATTAATAGTGAGTCTGGTGGAAAGTCAAAATCTCTCAGCTTTATTGTGGTCTCTTTTAGCAGGGAGAAGCTGGTCATTAACACTGCTACGCCACGGAGAATACTTTTGAATTAATACTCTGCACTTGGTTGCTGGGACATGTTTGTCCAGCAAAGAACGCAGGCAGTTATCGAGTTGTTCTGCTGTTGGAGGTAAGCAAGTTGATAGGTTTGCTTGAATATCATGCATTAGTTGTGTTCTATTTATAACATGGAGGTTTTTTGTATTACCAAATAAAGGTGGAGGCTTAGGGACTGATACCTCAAGATGGTATATAATGCGGAGGTAATCTGAAGCTAATTTGTGGGACAACAGGAAAGACTGTAGAATATTATCATCAGGTCTATGAAGAATCCAGTCTATAATGTGACCATGTTTGTGGGTGGATTGGCTAACTGACTGTTTGAGGCTGAAAACGTGAATGTAATCTAGGAGTTTTGATACGTATGGGTTTCCAGGACAGTCAAAGCGAATGTTGAAATCCTCAAGAATAATCAGGTTGTCACCTATCGAATTTCCGTACACCAGGAGATTCGAAAACTGCTCAAAAAGATTCATTCTGCTTGGTTTTCCTACTAGGAGGATATCAGTATTGGCATGAAATATGGATTGATCTTTGTTCCAGTGTGAGTGTAGTTTGGACTTGTTCAAACGATGTGAGATAGAAATCGAAGATTGCAGCGTAAATATAAACACGTTTCGTTGACCCTCATTGTGGTTATCTGAACATACTTAACCAGTTCCGTCATTACAAGTGATATTTTTTCTTAATTATTGAATGTAACATAACAACCTATTTTAACGTAATAACTGGAACTAGTGTTGACCGGTATAGGTACTTCCATAAATATATTTCCTCCAATCTTACTTTCCCTTTTATCTCAGCTTAAAGGATTATTTGTTTCATTGCAGGAGGTAGTTCGAGAGGAGAAGTCTATACAAGATATTTTTCTTTGTCAAAGGTTAGAACACCGTCTTCAACAGAAAGCATTTGTCCTTAGCGGTATAAAGACACCCTTATTTAATGTACATACATGCGTGTACACTAGCACAATAAAAACTAATCAATGACGATTTGTGTACTATCTGTATCATTAAGGTAGTGTTATTAGTTATGATTAAGGTAGCATTATGTGCGATCGACTGATTAATATATTGATTCATTGGCTAACATTAAATTGAAGAAATAACGGTGTACATACACTATTTTAAGTTAAAAATAATATGATATATTTTCGTTTTCATCTGCACAAATTAATCTAATGAGATATCGCTCGACATTAATTTCATATAATTTTTAATATCAAGTTGTGGTTTTTATTAGACTGAGATGGTATCTCGCACGTGTAGTCAGCAATGTGATCGTACTTGGCATTCTGGCCGGAAGTGGTTACCTGATTTTCTACGTCACAGACGAAACTGTCATTCCCGAAGAAATACCAGATATTTTTGAAGAACAACTCAGGAAATACCGGGTAATTATATTAATTAGCGAAATAAAAAGGCAGTCACATATTCATCCATTGAGTTAAAAATATCAAAGCGTTTGCTCAGCTGTAAAGTTATTACTCTAGGTTTACTATCCTCGTTCCTTGATGTGTTCTTTCGACAGCATAACAATACTGCAAATAATTAAATAAATATTTAAAGAATATTGATATTATCAAGGAACTAACTTTATGTTTCATCTTCACTAAATGCTAATTAAAAAATGATTGGTTACTGCCAGTGTAATTATGAAAATATTGAAAAGACAACTCATCTAATTACACAATATTTATAAATATATTTACCTATGTATGCAAATTATTTTTTTACACTGCTTTTAAAATCGAAATTGTTTATAAAGTATTGTTCTATTTTGTTGTTTGCCTTACAGTTGCCTGCAACAGTTGCCGGTCTTAAATTTGTCGTTCCTCTAATATTGTACCAACTTGTTCGGATAGAAGGATGGCATCCTCGTGTGGCAACGAAATTCACACTGGTCAGGTATAATATCTGATAACCGACGTTAATCAAGGATACATCGATTAGAAAACTTCTGTTAAGGTTCTCAATTCATTTTGCTTTGAATTGCTTACTCAGAACCCTTCCTCCAAGAGAGATGTGTACATTTACGTTTCAGTCTGAAATTGATGCATTATTGCTTTTGAGGAGTTTTGTCGTTAAAACTATATAATGAAGCCGTAAATTATGAATATGAATAATATTAAAAGAATTTCAGCAACCGCAAAATAAATCGACTTTGAAAAGACTTTCAGTGCTTCTAATGAACTTTTATTATCTAAACATACTCTGTAATATAAGTAGACTATTTCCAGAGGAAATTTAGCATTACACTGCACTATTTAAAACCCTTCTTTTTTCAGAACTACATGGTTCTTTTATTTATACGTTCATTGACAGAATTACACTGGTCTCATTTGATAAGTTCATTTTCAGAATTATTCTGTTGACATTTGATCCGTTTTTTTTCAGAACTATGCTGTTTTACGTTGCCAGCTTATCTGTGTTCGTACTCTCCCTCTACACTGTGACTCAGAAGGAAGATAACTCTTGCAGTTCTTCGCATGCGATGGTTAATCTCGTGCGTATCAACACTCCATTAAGTGGTACACCTCAGTTGTATGTGTGTGTGTGTGTGTGTGTGTGTTGTTGTTGTTGGGTTTAACGCGATTTTTCAGCACACGATAGGCTATTCATGGCGGCCAGTATTAATGGTGGAGAAAGAAAAAGGGAAATCACCGTAAAGAACCACCGACCCACGAGAAGCTACCTCAGTTGTATCATCGCTGGAGTGATATATATATATATATATATATATATATATATATATATATATATATATATATATATATATATATATATATATATATATAGAACGTTAACTAGCTATCAGTTGTTAGTTTCTGTAACCATAAGTCAGATATGTGCATATTATGCTGTTCATCCGTTCGCACGTCACTTATCCTATTCCCTCAATCGTTTCTGCACAGTAACTTGTATTATTCACTACATAAGGCACAACACGTTGTCAGTAACTTGCATTTGGGAAAGAAACCTATTAAGTCTAAACTTGAGCAGTGTAAGAGCAATGTTACAGGGAATAAAAGAAACAAACAATTTTCAACACCATAACTTGACTTTTATACCACTTTTATTCAAGCCACTCTCGTTAACTTTCATTTCGTATAAGAAATCCTCCACGGCCTTGGTGTCTGAGGGTAAAATGTCAAGGTCACATTTTTTAATATAAAATATTGTAAGATATCTTGAGTTCCTAATCATTTACTTTGACCAACCAATGAATATTGCTTACATTTGAAACATGGAAGGCACACAGAAACATACACACACAGAGGTACACCCCAATTGCTTACATTTGAAACATAGAAGACGCACACACACACACACACACACACACACACACACACACACACACGAGACTTTATGGTCTTAAGGCAACAAAAAGAAGCAAACTCAAGAAAGCTAGTTTGATATTGATTTAACTAATAATGTATTTCCCTTGAATACAAAATTCAATTAAAGAGGAACTTACCAGTATTTTGAATAAACTCCCAAATATATATTGTTTAAGCGCATGTCCAAAGGTATGGAATGTTCCTAATTAATTCCAATTATCTCGAACGTCCTAATGTACAAAATGTCTTAAATGCCTTCATGTACTAGTATTCTTAAATGTGCTGATGTACTAATAGCCTTGTATATATTTAATACCAACGGTCCTAAAGTATAACAATGATATAATCCAGATTGTCTCTGAATGAATACACAATTATCCCAAAGTAGTGGTTTAGTTCAAAACGTCAATGAGCACTTTATAATCACAATGAATAATTGAAATTAATGATTCCTCTCAAACTGCACTTGAACACACCTAAAAGAATGATGTGAAATTGAAATGAATAAGTGTTCATCTCACACACATACACATATATATAAACACACATACACACACCCACCCACCCACCCACCCACCCACACCCACCCACACATGTGGGTCATTTTAAATGGAAAATACCGACAAATTGTGAATGTGTTCTTTTCAGAAAAGAATTATTTCGTAAATGGAGCGTTGAACTGAGATTAAAATATGAAAGAATGCATATTTTTCAACTGGTTTGGAATGGTTGATTTTGTTTTTCTGTCGATCCAACTAAATTTTGTTTCAAGTTGTGATGGACTGAGTTTGTTAGTTGGGTCAATTCCATACGATGTACATGTGGTTGGATATACTGTCTTTGATGCAGCTGCACGATTGTTTCTGTTCGGTCATTAAGAGTTTGGAATTATAAGGTAGGAAAGTATGTAATTCTTTTGCTTGAAATTCTGATGTAGACGCAGGATTAAATATTGTTTGATAGGAAGTATCAAATTCATTTCGTTTTTGAGTGCAGTAAATTCTCCTCTGTAAAGTGATTTATGTTGGAAATTCAGTGTAAATTGCCGTTCACTTTCGCTTCGTGCATCAAATGTTTTGAATCCATGTAATTCCGATTAACAGAAATAACTAAGAAAGGAAATTTTGAGGAAATTCAAGGTGCAGAAGGTAAGTACATTTTTGTCATTTTTGTTACTAGCTATAAGTTAGTTCACATATTTGTATGCCCTTAAGCGTGCATGTTGTTTGTTTGTGGGAGTCCAATGAGAACCCATTTTGCCAGGGAACAAAAGCTTCTAGCTGTCTTGGCTAATTTTCTCTGACGCCTTTGGTTTTCTACCGCGTTCATCATTTTATTCTGTTTTCGAATTAAGGGATTAAATTAATTTGCACAACGGGACGTCTCTGAGACGGACGGGACGACCTTTTGACCTTAATATGAATTTCTATGTTATGTGTGATAGATTCTTGAGAACATGGTTCATAATATAAACCATTTAATTTGCCAATCGCTGTAAACATTTCTCCTAAAAAAGTATTTAAATGATCATAATAATAATTTCAATAATGCACGCTCGTATGTTCGTTGTCATAAAACAATCGCTGAACATTGAGGATACCACATTCAGTCGTTTGGTCGGTGAAAAGTTCCTTTTGTGACTCTATGAACTCATCCACGTCGTCAACTTTATTATCTCTACTTTATATGAATCAAACAGCTTGCTTAATTCATCCTCATACATTTATAATAAATTGAAAGCCTCCGCGTGGCTACATGAACGTAGATTGTTTTCTTACAACAAAAAGTAGTTCCCAACTTATGATGCTATTTTAGATACACGCGTAGTGCGGTATGAAGGAATGCAGTATGCTTTAACATATCTTAGGAGATGGCTTTATTTTGAAATTCGGAACACACGTATTCGGGTGAAATGTCAAAGTTAGACGATTCCAGAACTAACAGGAGTTTGCACAAGTTAAGTCCTTTGCTGCATGCATAAACAAACCTTTTTGTGAATATTTGCGGTTGAAACAAGAAAGACGTCTGTCGATTGTTGTTATGCTGAAGGAAAACCAATGGTAACTGCAGACAACTGTTATTAACTATTTACATTCACCAAGTGTGGTTTACACTTTGAGTAAGAAAGAAACCATATGATTTGAGTTCGAAATATGCAAGTTCAGGGTGAAAGTGATCAAAATAAAATATATAAATAGGTGTTTATATATTTATATAATAACGTGTCTTTTAGACGACGCGCCATAACAAAATCTTTGCGGCGAGATTGCACTAGAAAAGTAATAAAACCGGCTGCTTTTTATCAAATAGTCTAATGTCAATGTGAATCACATTTAAAGCAAGGTGGCTTTTGCCCAATAACTTTTCCCAGTGTAATTTCCTTCAAAATATTTTGTAGATGACTTGAATTTGAATTTCGAACAAGAAAGAAATAAAGATATTGGGACCTAAAATGTTATTATCAAGTCCATAGTAATTCTAATTAAAATAGATTCTGAACGATAGCGTTAGTTTAAGGCAACTCTCCATGACCATTGACCATTGCAACTCTTACTAACGTATTTCAAGAATCACCAGTGCCTTACTGGTACATACACTGAGATCTTTATAAAAAGTGACTGGCGTATAATTTAACATACACGGTACTCTTTTACTTCAACGACAAATGAAATAAAATACCATATTTCTTCGATCTCAAGACAAAATTCTACACCTGGATAAGCAAAAAAAAAAACAACAAAAAAACAAAAACAAAACAAAAAAAAAAAACACACAATAAAAAGAAAGAAAGAAAACAATACTTTATATATCTTGACCCATTTGGAAAAGACGCTTTTTTCGAATTGATGCTAATATTTGTACATGTATACATTTTTATGAATGTATACTTTATATTTTAGATCACATAAATTTAGTAAAGAGCTATCGTGAGAGCTAATGTGTTTATACGAGTTTCTTTTTAAACTCTTCTTTATAAAATGTCTTTGATTTTCTGGTCTTCAGGTTACATCGACATAGGGCCGATGTTTCCTTTAGATTTGCATTAATTGAATGGGCTTTGAATATTTTTGTCTTCTTAGACTATTGTGACTGAGGGAGCTACAAACGCAACATGTTGGGAAAGTGACATTGGGGAAGAGATTTTCAAGGTCATTCTGTTAGACCTAGGTATTACCATTGCAGCTGCAATATTCTTCCAAGTATTTCGAGCCATGCTGGTTCGATTTCGTTGCTGTGATTTTGTGAGTATTAATTTTTAGCCATACTTCTCTGATTTTGCTGCTGTCATTTTCTAAGCAAGATATGTGTGTGTCTGTGTGGGTCTGTGTGTTTGAGTGAAAATTTTAACTTAGCTTTAACAGTTTTCCAATCATATTGATACGATGTTTGCAGTGTGACAATTTATTGTGATGTCTAGCACTGGGAACTTGTGCCACAGGCTTGTAGCATCATATTATTTTGACATTAGGCTGACCAGCCCTAATACTAATCTCTTAATGCTGCGTGCCATTCGAGGCAGCTGTTAGTTCCATTATTACTCGACCGGGGATAGAACCCGCGACTTCCTGCATCCGAGGCAGACGCTCCAACCATTTGGGCCACTGGAACAGTCTATGATATTTGTGAACTGAAGGCAGATTTCCTTACCTCTCAAAGAAAATCCAAGAAAATGGAACGACTGAAAGAGTTACTAATATTTTTTTATCTTCTGAAATTGCAATGTAAAATCTTTTTCAAGATATGTCATTTATATATAGTAAACAGTCATTGATAGCCAACTACAACAATGTCATCAGTAAATTATCCATTCCAAAACGATATAAGAATATTTAAATTCATAAATTATTTATCAATGTATATTCCTACCTACCTACTGCTCTTACCGTCACCCTAACTTCAATCTATTCTATGTATTGAGCTTATTAAGGTGCCAGTAAAATTTTGTTTGGTATTTCTTGGCTGCTTATAACAACCAATCTTCACTCTCTAATGAAATGCGAACTATAATACAGTTTGATTACCGTATCAAGTGTTAGCTTATTTTAACTGCATCTAATTAACAAAGAGGTTTATGAAACATTGTTAAAGCTACGGTAAAAATCTAAATCACAATCACAGACAATTTAGGATACGTAGCATTATTCTTCGTCTGCCCCCTCTTCTTACATTTTCACAGGATTTTTGATTCCGCTCATACAGATTCTGAGCTTTATTAAATCTGTTTTTTTTTCTCTTTCAGCTGGGTTACGGAGAGTTTGACGTCATTGCGTGTGTCCTAGATATTATCTACGGACAAGGTCTCATATGGTTGGGAATGTACTTCTCCCCTTTACTAGCACTCTTAGGAGTCGTCAAATTGGTGGTCGTCTTCTACATTCAGTGCTTCGTTGCCAAATTTGCCATGGTCCCTACCAAAGAGTTGTTCAAAGCCTCAAAGTCTGGAAATTTGTATCTCGCCATTTTAGTGATAAATTTGTTTATATGTATGTTTCTGATGTCATATTGCATTATAGAGTGAGTATACACATACGTTTGTTTGCATCATTTTTTAGTGGGTATACGCATACATTTGTACACTGCATTATGGAATGGGTATTTTGTACACTATATTATGGAGTGGGCATACTCATAGAATTGTACACCAAATTAAGGAGTGAGTATTTTCATACATTTGTTCATTACATTATGGAGTTCGTATATTCATACATTCGTGCACTGCGTTATGGAATGGGTATATTCATAAATTTCTACACTACATTAAATTGTACACTGCATTACAGAGTGAATATACTCACACAATGGTACACTGCATTTTGGAGTGGGTATACTCATACAATTGTACACTACATTACAGAGTGAGTATACTCTTGCAATTGTACACTGCATTACAGAGTGAGTATACTCTTGCAATTGTACACTGCATTACAGAGTGAGTATACTCATACAAATATACACTGCATTACATTGTGGGATTGAGTATACTAATACATTTGTACACTGCATTAAAGTGAGTATAATCATACAATAGTAAACTGCATTACATAGTGAATATACTCATACGTTTGTAGACAGCATTATGGAGTGTGTATACTCAGTATTATACACTGCATTGCAGAGTGGGATTGAGTATGCTGATACATTTGTACACTGCATTAAAATGAGTATACTCATACAATTTTGCACTGCATTACAGATTGAGTATACTCATACGTTTGTACACCTCATTGCACGTACTTTTATATGCTAAACCAGTACCGGTTTATTCCAAAAGTAATTCTCGATTATGTTGAATCTGATTTGTTGAGTAAGTATGATTAGTAGAAATAATAGGGTTGGGCTGGGAGTAATCTAATGATATTTAGAACAAGAGATTTAGTAGTACAAATAAAATATATGAATATTTCAGTTCCATATAAAAATCAATACAGTTATATTGTTTATAGAGAAAAAATGAATATCACATCGTGAACACTTTTTTTCTTTTGTAGTTTAATTTTGTTACGATTTGAATCTTGATTATTATTATTATTATTATTATTATTATTATTATTATTATTATTATTATTATTATTATTATTATTATTATTAGTTTATTGCAAACCTGTTAAAATCAGGTCAGAATAAATATAATAACGTTAATTTGATTCTATATTCAGCAAATTTATATTAAGATTTCTAAATATTTTCATAATGCTATGTTATTAGGGACGAAAAACTGCTGTGTTATATTTATATAATATATACTATAGCATCTTTCAGCCATACATATAGTTTTGGAGCTACATATGCTTATAGACGTTAAGAATTATACAAATTTTGCAGGCTGAAACCATCCATAAGTTGTGGCCCCTTCCTGGGTCATTGTCGGTCGTATGATGAAATAACTGATCTGATTGGCGAGCTACCAACATGGTTGGAAGACGGATTAAGCTACATTCGGACACCTGCTATTGTTGTACCGATCATTGCATTTTTGCTGTAATAATCTGATAATCATTTCATCAATAATCTGATAATCCTTTGATTATTGAATCGTCTGTTTTAATCTCTTCCTTCTGTCTGTTTTTAGTTTTGATGATCTCTCTTGAGAGTGAGTTAGTTCTAAATAAATAGACTTATTATTAGGTCCGTTATTAGGTGACGTTTTACTGTTTTATATTTTGCATAGGGTTAGAATTTTAAAGAAAAAGAATTCTCCCCGGTTTCCTCACTAGTTATACTGGCCATTTAAAAATGGCCTTGTGTATCTTAGGTATTGTTCAAAGAACATTTAATTCCTTCTATGTTGGTGTATGATTGATGGATGTAATATGGGTTATAGAGTATATAGCTTGGCTTTACTCCAGATGTGCAGCTTTTATGAAAGTGCTAGCTCTACTTGATCATTTTCACTTCCTGAACTTATGAGGTAAATTGTAAGAAAAGAGCCGATAACTGTATTTACATTTTATACATTTGGTAATTCATTCTTTGCACTTTCAGAAACTGGTATTGCTTAGTCTGGCAAAATTCATTTTCCCTTTTTTAATAGCTGTTAAGGATAGTGCACTTTAGACTAATTCAGGCTGATTTTTTTTAAGCACTCAGGAGCAGTCATTTTAGTTACCAGTGTGCTAAGATCATGTATAATTTCATAAAGTACAATATCTAAAGAAATATCAACCATATTACATCAAAGTAGCATATAGGAATGCCAAGATTCTCTCCACTGTGCATGTTTTAAATGCAAACAACTTCACCTTACATACGTTACTCTCAAACGTACAATATAACTGGTGAGCGTCTCATTAACGTACTTGCGTACGTACTTACGTACGTACGTATATATATGCATGCATGTATGTATGTATGTATGTATGTATGTATGTATGTATGTATGTATGTATGTATGTATGTAAGTATGTATGTATGTATGTATGTATGTATGTATGTATGTATGTATGTATGTATGTATGTATGTATGTATGTATGTATGTATGTATGTATGTATGTATGTATGTATGTATGTATGTATGCATGCATGCATGTATGTGCGTACGTACGTACGTACATATGTGATGTATGTAAATATTTTGTTTGTCTGACTGCATGTATGCATCTGGTAAGCGCTCTGGTTGCAGGAACTCTGTGTGAGATGAAAATGATTCTGACGGTGAAACAGATATACATTTAAATGAATAAATAAATAAATAAATTAAAAGCAAACTCATGACATAGTATAGTGTTGCCACTTCAGATTAACCGAAAATATGCTACTTTGACTACATAAACTGTGAAGATGTAGGTCTTCTTCTCCCGCAATTGAAAAATATAAACACAGTCGTAATAAATGGAATTACATCCTACAACATTAAAATACAGGCATGTGAAGCTTTAACTCTTACAGAATTACCATTGCCGATTCTTTCAAAACTTATTGCTAGGCACAGAGGAACTAAAGGATAATAGGAACTGGAAATATGAGAATAAAGTGCTATTTTCTTTTAGAGTTTATTTCATATATTCTCGGTTTTGAAAACTAATGTCGTTATGAAATAGCCTAATGCAAAATAACGTCTGACATGTATAGCAAGTAAACAAAAATATTTTATTTGTCAGCTGAAAGAAAGCGAAGATGTCAGACGATAGATTTCTGTAATCTTTGTTATTCTTCCCCTCCTCTCTGCCATTGCATTTTTGGGTACAGATGATCATGAACATGTTTATTAAAAGAAGTTAATTACTAGCACAATTAGCATAAATTTTGAAATATTGTATTTGCAAAAAGTTGTTTGGATTGTTCGTGCAACTAGATCGGAGCCTTCGTTTTTCTTTTAATTTCGTTTGTTTTCACTTCAGAATGGTCATTTTATATTACAAGGCCAAGTCTTCTTCCTACCATGATCTGATTTTAGAGCTCCGGAAGCAACTGACACATGTAAGTTTCATTGGTTATGACGGATGTTTAAATGTTTTGAATATCATTGTGCTGAACAAAATTTCTTTATTGATGAACATAATGTAAGTGTATCTCCCTCAAATTATTCCCTGATGAAACCTCACAATTTTTTTTGGCCTTCTCCTACTATAAAATGCCATCTTCTGGTACCTTTTCGTTTGCTCATATCCTGGAAAACTGCCATCAAATTATCTGCCGCAATTAGCTAATATTTTTTTATCACCTGTGCTGTGTGGAGGATGTGTCAAAGTTAGGATGATGAATTCTTTCAAGAGCTCTTTCAATGCAACTGATTTATGCGAATGTGAGTCGGTAGTGCGTCGATGCGCAATAAGCCTAGGAAATATATTATTGCGAAGCCGTTTACACGTTGCTGGATTTTAGTGATTATCTGCTGATTATAGGGAGTAGCTGTTGGGAAGATATTTCACGGCCTGAGTGATTAGCTAAATTTGTAGAGCAGATGTTTTATTGTAAAGTTTTTACGAGACATAATGGTACCATGAATTTGTTTTGGCAAAATAAACCCTCTCTAATTTCAAACTGAATTCTCTGGATAAGTTTTGGTGTACGTGTTTAGTAATTTGTGACAGGAATAATGATTGGTATTGGGGTCTTTGTGTAGTGTTTTGTGTTCCATGGCGTGATGTTCTAATATTAGGTTTGGAAAGGC